AATTATCACAGCAGTGACCTCATGGCATGTGTATCAAACAGGAAGTGGTAAAGGGGTCCTCAGAGTGTAAGCTACCCACAATAATTCCTGATTTTTTTGTACTTTTAAAAAAATCTGACGTTGTTGACAAAAACTCTGGACACGATTTTAATCACTTAAAAAATATTTAAAAATAAATTTTCAATTGCATATTTTGATATTATATAAGGTATTGACTTAAATACTTAGTGACGAGAGCCATGATGTTTAATTTTACATTACTTTTAATTTTTTTTCTGTATTTTAATATTATCACACTTGCTTCTTGACAATGGATTTTTAAGGTACTGGTAATGTATTGTACCATTTAAAATAAATATATATTTATAAAAAATGCAAAATCATAGTATTGTTGTATAAACATTGCCTTGGTTTTTTCTTTTAGGCAGTTGTATGCATATTTTTAACCACAAAATTGGGTTTTATCTACCGGACATGTTTTTTCCCTTATCTCAAGAATCACTGCTAAAACATTTTCCTTACGAGGCTGAAGTTTAAATTTACAGACTGCAAATAATTTCCAGTGGAGTCCGTAAAGATGGGTGAATTGAAAGATGTATTTTAGAGTCCTCTTTTCTCTGAGCCCAATTAAATATTTGTAGTTTAGAAGAAAGTTGTTTTTTTGATCACACTACTTCTGTGTTTTCTCAATTTACAAAAGAGGCAGTCTAATGTCCTCTATTTATTTGCTCACAAGACTGAAAAATATATTTCAGCTTTGTGATACAGATAGTGCTGCATAGGTTCAGTGCTCATTCTTAAAAATTTTGATAGGACAACATTTAAACATAGATTGCACACAAATTGGGAAATTCCTCTTTAAAGATAAGATTTGTCCGTTAAATCACTTATTTGTCTTCATGTTTGATGTTCTGTGTTCTTTGAAGGTTTGTGTAGAGTTCCACCAAGTCACAGACATCAACCTACAGAGCCAGTTGTACGCTGAACTTGACAGAAACACACCATGACTTATGACCCTATAACGACAGAAGGCTGCACGCACTGTAAAGATATTGGAGTTACTGTGGAATATCCTGAATACTTATGATCTTCAGGTGAATAATGATATAAAAAAAATTTGTTACCACAAAGTTAAAAAGTTTCAATGATAATCACTCAAGTTTGCTTGCTTTAAGACTTGTGTCCTGTTTTTTATACAGATAGCTCAGAAAACGAATTCAGAAATGTAACTTTGTCCAAAAAATCTTCATGAGGCTTGATGATGGCAAACCACTGAAACCCTGGACTGTTAGTAAGCACTTTGTTTAAAGCACTTTGAGTTAACTTCTGTATTTGGGTCGATACAGCTGAATCAGTTTACCTCAATTTCTTATACTTGCATTGTTTGCTTATTTAAAAGCGAATAAATAACTTTTATTTGTACCTGTTTTAAAATAACTATGCTCACTTTCTGGTGCTCTTGTCCATGTTAGTGATTTTATAAAGATATTTATGTGATGCTTCTTACATGTCCATAAATATTTTAATAAAAAAGGTTGAAGTACCGTATAAGTTCTAGTTCTGAGTAGTCTAAACGTAAATACTTATCTTTTAATTGATCAATAGTCACATTATTTGAGTTAAATTTTAATATATTTACATTCTGTTGCATCAAAATATAAAATTGTAAAGAACATCTGAACATTAAAATAAAATTATGTCATTTTTAAGTAAAGTTGAATTATTAAAACATAAAAATACGTTTTAAACTTTTAAATTAACAGTGAATAAAATTGTATAGAACCTGCATACTTAAAAGA